CATCAATTTTTGTACCTCGAAAAGCGACCCTTTTTCTGTTTTTAGCAAATAGTCTCTAAAAGAGGCATGTTTGAGGCCTTATATCTGAAAATGTGGTTATGATATGTATTGTCTGATTGTTGTAGGGTGCCAAGTTCCCCTTAAGCTTCAAAAAGAAACATTTACTTAGTTTAGGTGGGGACAGATAAAAAAAAAATTGGCAGCTGAACATGAGGAATTATTCGTTTGGACTTAGTTTTTTTGAGAAATGTGTCGGCACCCCTCTTTGCTAGACTACCACTTTTGAAGAACTTTATCTTAAAAAGTAATCACCCAATTTATCCAAATCTCCTTATTTTTACAGATCACAATGCATTTTCTTGAAAAAAAATTCCAGTTAGGGTTTAAGATCATTATTTTTTTTAATATTTTGATATCAAATACCCTGCGCAGCCCCTTTTTGAGACGAAATCAAAAATTTCAGAAAAAATGACTTTTTTGATGCAGAAAGCTCAAAAAAAATCTGGAATTTTTTTTATATGGTGTTTCTTGTTGATCTTTGTATGTTTTATCAGAAAATATGTAATATTTCCCCTAAAAAATTTTTTTGAAAGCAACAGCTCCAAAATACAGCTGCCAAAGAGGTATATTTTTAGCCCCGAAAAGACGAAAAATAACATTTTTTCAGGACAAAAAGATCTTCAACTACTCCCAGGTGGTAATAAAATGACAATTTATATAAGAATGCTTATTTCTACATACAAATGATCAAGTTTTAACTCAAAACAACAATTTTTTGCAACATTTAAGGTTGTTTTTCTACGTTTTGAAAATTTTGGATAAAACCTGAAATTTGTGTTTAATCATGAAATGCGAGAAGAATATAAACTATTGTATGGTGTATAAGGTATCATTTTAAAGATAGAAATATGTAGAATGCAACTAGCACATATTTGTACCTCTATCTATTAACAGCACCAAGTATTTCTATAAAAACCTAGCCCTACCCCAAAATCAAACATTCTCAGAAGGTGAACCCCCCCCCCCCCCCCCAATTTTTTTTTTACTCCTACAAACAATATCATTTGAGAAAAAATGTTCCTGTTGATATTAGTTCACCTTTTATAAGCCTTAAGAGTTGAAACACGGTTATTCTTGTCTTTATAAGTTTATCCTTAAGATTAAGATAAAAGCACAAAAAATAGGTAAATCTGTCATTATCTAGCATAAGTTATTTTCAACATCAATGTTAAAATTTAACGGTCATAAAAATTGTTATCTAATTAATTCATTGATAGTATTGAAAAAAAAGTAAAAACAATCATCACATACTTATCAAACTGCAAATAAAAAAGTGTATTGGATTGTAAATAAAACTTATCACACTTACCAAAAATAAAATGAAAATCAGTATATCAGAGCGTGTAAAAAAACTAAAAAGAAAATAAATCAAAATATTTTTTTTTTTTTAGAAAAAGATTTATTTAGATTAAAAATTAAATAAAATAAATCACAATTATTATTCTTCCTCTGAAAAATTTGACAACTTAAAAAGAAACCAAAATAAGGTAAAATAAAACTTAAATAAATAAAAGAGATTTTAAAAAGTGTCATAAATTAGCAAAACAATTAAAAATATAAAGAATTTCAACAAAATAAATAAAACAACTTTCTTTCACTTCAACAATACCCCCTTGCATTGATAAAGAAGGGCAGTTCTTACATTCAGAAGGAATTTAACAACCAAGATATAGACCAAAATCAACTTTCTGAGTTAAGAAGAATGGGCTAGTTGAGAGGGAGTATAATCATGATATTTTACAGAGAAAATTGTTTTCTCATCAAATGTTCATTCATTTATTTCATGGAAAATAATTTGTATTTGTGACTTAAAAGATTAAGAAAAGTAAAGTATAGTTCTGTGTTCAGAAAATGTTTTTGTTATACCCCCAAACATATTTTCTTAACCACAGCAACTATCCCCCCCCCCCCCCCATAAAAACCCCAAAATGTTCCGAATGGACATACTGATGTCCCATTGGTCAATTTTGTTTACCGGGTCGGGAGGATTTGCACCCGGCCTGCAGCAGCAGCAAAGTTCGATAACTCATACGAACAAAACATTGTGGCAAAAGTCATTCAAATATCCAATGATTTCCGCTGGCTGCTCTTGTTATTTTGTTGAAACCTTGGTTACCAATCGCTAGATGAAGGTCCAGGCTACCATAATCCGAGTGATCCCTGTTCGCGGCGAAGTGATATCACGGTAAAAAAACACTGTTTTGCAAATTTATATTTTTTACAGTGTGATCCCTATACTTTTTCAAAAGAGATCACTCAGTTTCAAAAACTAGACTATATTTCCTAAATTTTAAGCCATTAATGGTAAAAATTGGTCCAGTAATAGCCAGCGGATTTAATTCTGAACTTGGCACACTTGTTGACACATAAATCAACATGGCGGCCGAATTTTTGGAAACGACTTCACTTCAAACTCCATGCAATGGTAGGAATTTATATCTTATTACAAAATAATTACCAAAATAAGAAAATAGAAGTCTTAAACTTTATTTTGATATATTTCTATCCCCCAACTACGCTTATTTGATATTTTAATTTTAGTGTGAAAAACCCGAAAAAATGGGGTTTTTTGCTCCAACAGAACGTAATAAGCCTGTAAATGACCGTCGCCGACCTCCCTACTCTTAACCTCTACAAATAAATGTTTTTCTACCGTGTATATTAGAAACCGCTAATCTTACATGCAGTAATAAAAAACAATGTAGTGAACACAAAATGTCATTATTGATGATTCTTACTCTTAAGTTGGTCATTAAACATAGAGTCCGGATACAGCAATACGCTTAATAGCTCCACGCTAGGAGGAAGCAGTATTGTCGAGTAAAATGCCAGACTATGTGAAATAAATTAGACACAAGAGGTAAATCAAAGACACAGAGCAAATTATTCCTGTAATGAGAAACAGGAACATATCTGACAAAGATATACTATTCACAGAAAAACAATGCAATTTCTGATTTCACAAAAATTCAACATGGCCGCACCTGTGGAAGTTTCAACAGGATACCAGCCGTTTGTATCAACTCGCAACCAAGAATTCGTAAATCTGTTTCAGTATCATTATCAAGTCCGTCTTGCATTGAGGGTGTCGGCGATCGTTTATCGTCTGGTAGCAACACATTTTCAAGTGTTAAAACGACTCTACTGAAGTCTCTGGTGTTCAGCATATTCTTCTCGCTCTTTGTCGCCGTCATCTTGGATCGTCAACTCGATGTGCTTTTTCCTGTATCTATGCGCGAGGTCAACGGTTCTTTTTATATAATAAAATAAAGGATATCTAGTTTTGATATGAAAAAAGAATTATGATCAAGTTTGATATCTACATATCTTCACATGAAATACATATCATTGTTGAAAAAGAAAAGAAATACGCAATATGAGGGGTACTATTTTTTGTTGCGGATGGATTTTGTGAATCGGTGGAAATTACGTCAATTGGGAAAAAATGTAATCTTGGTCAACAAGACCTATTTTCAAACAACGATATTTAAGCGTCTTGTTGATTAAGACCGGAAGCGGAATTTTTTTCTGGTAGCAATCCTCGTTCCCTGACCCACCGTAGGGAACGAGGGAACGAAGGGAACGAGGATATCTTTAGACACATCAACGTTTATGACTGCAAAAGAATGATGCGACTTTTCAGAGTTGTGTTGCATGTTGCTTTCCTAGTTATTGTAAGTAGTAGACCACCTAAAGATATTGTGGCAAGAGATGTGGTCCTCATGGATATGGATGCAGAACAGGGAGAAAAACCACGTCTTTCAGTTGACAAGCTTGTCCCACCTGATCATCTCGATGCTGTACGCTTAGAACAGGACGGACATATCAACAAGGACTTCCACAAAGAAGCGTTTCTCGGTAATCACGAGGAGATTGATGACGATCCTGCACCTGTTGCTGAATCAAAACTACGTGATATCTTCAAAAAGTATGGGTTATTTATGGTTTGTTGAATTAAAGTTCCCCCAGTCTCCCCCAACCAAACTTGCACATACTGTTACACAAAATATGGAAGCCTGCTGTTGGTGCTAGTGAAAATGTTTTCCTAATGGCACTATTTTTGCATAAGTTCCGTATGTACATAAGTACATCGATTAACATCCATAGAAATAGTCACTTTCATAAAAGATTACAAAAAATAAACTTATGTAAAAGACAAGGGTAAAGTGCCATTGATCAATTCAGATCCGGAAATTTTTCAACATGATGTCACATGTATGAATATTTTGAAACACTTGTTATCATACTCCAGTTTTTACAGCCATCCGTGGTAACAATAACAAGTGAGGCAATCTGTACCAGTTTGTTTAAATATATGTGATCAGTTGATAAAAATTAGAAATTTTGCTTCTTATTAATAAATGTGTGATCCTTCTGCTGCATTTTCACTTAAACTTTGCTTAATATTATAATACTATGAGATTGATTTGATAAACTTTTCATTGAAACAGTATTTTGGTTAAAAAAGGTACTCTCAGAAACGATAGGTATACATTTTGGAAATGTGATAAAATGTCTTCTTTCTGGTGATATCCCTAAACCACACACACACCGCGTAAGCCAACAGTAAGACAGAACCATTCAGATAGTCTGTTAACTCCGTCTGGAGACTCTGAATATCAGATCTCATGTCGTCTTAAAAAAGTGATGGAAATCAGCAACCCATTTCAGGGTTGGCGTCTAAGCAATAATTGTGACAAAAAAATCCTCAATTGATGTCACTGTCATCTGTTTGAATGCCAATTAATGACTAGATGACTTCTTGACAGGATGGATTTATTTCCAAGATTTTTCAAAAACAATAGCAGATATTGTAACAGTTAGGTTGGCATTATAACCATCATCATCGTCATCATCATCATCATCCACCCATTATGGTTTACTTTGATGTTACAGATTGGCATTTTGAATCCACATATTTTTGAAGTCTATTGCAAAATCTCTTTGAAAATTGGTAGAATTTATCGTCATTTATATGTAGATTGTTTATGTGTAGATTGTTTTCTTGAGTGGCCTTTTGATTCAAACATTTTTATTCAATAATATAAAAAAATTCTTTTCGTTTTCACACCTTTAATTTTACTTTGTAGAGTTGACACCAATGGAGATGGCCATATGGATGTGGATGAGATGCAAAAGTGGATATTGATTAAGATCAATGAACATTTTAAGGAATCAGTGGAAGAGAATGCCCACATATTCAGACACATGGATCCTGAAAAGAAAGGTATAGTTTTACAAATGAGACTTAATGACTTTGGAAAAAATGACCATTGATTATTAATGCAAATTTAGCTTGCCTTTATCACACATTGGTGTACATATATATAACACTATGTAGTTTTCTGACGGATTTATTGGGTTAGGTTTGCATATTCGTAATAATTACTCCCTAATAGCAAAACCTACAGATTACTGCTACAATGTGTACATTTACTGAAAATGTTGGCCCTGATCAAATACTGTTATATTTAAAACCAAAATCAAATGATATTTACAATAGTACATCTGTATGTTCAAACTGATTGGCTCAAACATTCACAACTAATTGACTAGTTTTACCAGATTTTACCAGAATGTCATTTCCAGACCAAATGTTGTGATCTGAATTTTAAATGTGAATAAATATCAAAATAAATTCAGGATTAATACAAGGAATTCAGACTTCTTTTTATGAAATTATTATGCAGTTTTAAACATCTGTGTAAGTGCTTTGCAGGTTACATTGAATGGAAGGAATACTACAGACATTTCCTGTTGGCCAAAGGTTACGAAGATTCTAAAGCTTCTAAACATATAGAAGACTATGACACCATTGATATGAAGGATGATGGTATGTTGAAAAAGTTCACTACACATAGTTTTGATAACATTTTAAATAACCAACTATTTTTTTCTCCTCTCTCCAAAAGAATGAAAACAGGACAAAATATTTTTTGATGTGTTTTATGAAGGAACAAAAGCAAGACACAAAATGATATGTCTCCTGTCCTTGAGGAATGAAAGTTGGACAAAAGATATTTTTGTCTCCTTGCCCCAAAGGAGTGAAAGCGGGACTTGTTTCAATGAAGGAATGAAATGAGGAGAAGAAGTGTTACTTTTTTTGGATATCAACTTCAGGTGTATCTGTAAACTAGCTCATTGTCTCAGGAAGTGTAGTTACCATAGCAACCAATCTTGATATATATCTGAAGCATGAGGTGGACAGCTCAATTCATACTGAACGCAGATTTGAAATACATAATGCTATAGGCTTTCTGGTGTATTCAATGAACTTAAACATTTTGTTTTCTCAAAGATAATTGACTCAAACAACCATGCTCAAAAAAGGTCGGTTTCATGTTGTATTGAGTTATCATTTCGCAGTTTCGAATTAATGCAAATTGCAGTTAACTGCCCTGAGTGAGCTGGTTCCGAGTAACTCTGATGAGGAAAAATGACTTGTCTGATTAAACTATCTATACTCAGTGCCAGTGTTCAATATTTCAATATTCAAATTAACATGTTATGTATTGTACTTGTTTCGGGGGTTTGATATTTATCTTTTCCAAGTAAGACATCAGGTTTCACTTGGTTCGATTTTGGGGAAACCATAAAATTGTTAGGGGAGATAATCCAACAACTTTCTGGATTACAGTATATTGATGTATCTATGTACAAAGCTCTGCTGTTGATTTCACTCTTCTCTTTGAATATAACATGAAAAATATGATTGAAATGTTTTGTGGACCAATAGAACAATAAATATCAAGCACAAACATTCAGCACTGAAGGAAACCAGGTTGTGACTGTTGAAAGACTGGTAAAAAATTACCATTGGTTAGTGAACATTTTCAAATATGAATCAAACAATTATGAAATATTCTTTACCATGTCATAGGTGTAGATTTATCAAACCACAGGTCGACTCAAAATTGCCTGTGGGCAACTGGGGCCTGGCTGTTATGCAGTGCCATCAGGCCCTAGGTCCACTGTCAGAACCTATATTCACTTAATCATTGTCAGATATTGTATGGTGTTTGTTACAGAAAGGGAATCACTGGTGAGGTACAAGTTCAGATGGACAGATGCTGACCAAGACAGTAACAACAAATTAACAGAGGAAGAGTTCCTGGCATTCCGTCACCCCGAACAGAGCAAGATCACAATGAATAACATGTTAGAGACCATCCTCAATGGACTGGGTATGATACGATAAATTAGAGACTCCATAATTAGCAATCATTTTACAAATGAGGCGGTAATTATAAAAAAAACCTACTGCACATGGAAAATGATTTATTCTTGCAATAAATATAAGGTTCAAATTTTGTGTTTTTCTTAAAATATACATTTTGTTGGCAGTTGGTTCTTTGGATAAATCTTAATCAAAATTAATCATTGGTTATAATCATAATTAATTATATTCAATGTGTACTATTAGCTCTTCATGGGCATATATATTCATGAATTCAGAAAAAAAATTAAAATTTAATCACATGACAAGACATTAACATGATAATACAACACAGGTAACAAACACTTAGACATACACGAACAAACGTAGACTAACCGGTAGGACAAGTACATATAAAAAAGGTGACATATTACGTTGACATACGTGAACATAGTACTGCCACTCCGGTTGTACTATGAAAGTTTAATAACTTTAACAAATTTTATTAATACAAACTAACAAAACCACATAAAACTGGACACTGCAACATTACCACAAATTCAACTTAAATAAATCTCCCACAAAAATTAATTATTTCACAGTAAACAAAGTTTATTTATGTGAGTCTCAAAAATTTTACAATTTTCATGTGTCTCATCTATCTAGGTTTTGACAGTGTCATAAATATATGTACAACATAACTGGTGTGATTGATCAAGTTTGCAAAAACTGAGGGAAATGGAACATATTAATCAGGATCAAAATATAAAATATGAAAAAAATATGAATGAAAAATTGTTATTTTGTTACAGATGTTGATAAAGATGATATGCTGACAGAGGAGGAATTCTGTGCCCTTCCTCCTGGGGAAGTGGTAGGGGAAGAACAGAAGGAGATGGACAGAAAGTGGCAGGAAGAGAGGCGTGATGAGTTTAGGAATTCTATTGACAAAAACGGAGACAAAAAGGCAGATAAAGAAGAACTTTTAGTATGTATATTAAAGCAGTTGTTATATTTATGTTAATTTAAACATGTTTTCTCAGTCGAGTAAGGGTCTGTGGTACCTGAATTTGGTTGATAGAGCATGAGATTTTGAACCTCCAGAGTTTTTTCGAGGTTAATAATGGGCACTGTTCCCAATTCAAATTAGTTTATATTTAAGCCAAATTCCCCATATTTGAAATTTACTGCCTCCCAATTTTCTTCATAAAACTAGGCTAAATGCCCCATATCCAAAACCTTTCCAGAGCAAGTTGTGTGTGTAAGGAGACTTAGACCACAGATTATCCTGGTTATTTCCTGTACACCATGCTTCACCCAAATTGCTTAGATAGCATGTGATGGGTCCATCTTTGCACATTGTCTAGTGAAGTAGCCAACAGTTGCTACAAAGAGATCTTGCTCCATTTCAAAATGAACTTGTCCAACTTTACATGTTTTCAAGTGAGGAATCCACCAGTTGCTACAAAGAGATCTCACCCCACTTCTGAATAAACTTGCCCATCTGTGCACATTGTCTAGTGAGGTAGCCAACAGTTGCTACAAAGAGATCTTGCTCCATTTCAAAATGAACTTGTCCAACTTTACATGTTTTCAAGTGAGGAATCCACCAGTTGCTACAAAGAGATCTCACCCCACTTCTGAATAAACTTGCCCATCTGTGCACATTGTCTAGTGAGGTAGCCAACAGTTGCTACAAAGAGATCTCTCCCCACTTCTGAATAAACTTGCTCATCTTTGCACATTGTCTAGTGAGGTAGCCAACAGTTGCTACAAAGTGATCTTGCCCCATTTCAAAATGAACTTGTCCAACTTAACATGTTTCCAAGTGAGGAATCCACCAGTTGCTACAAAGAGATCTCGCCCCACTTCAGAATAACCTTATCCCTCTTTGCACATTGTCTAGTGAAGTAGCCAACAGTTGCTACAAAGAGATCTTGCTCCATTTCAAAATAAACTTGTCCAACTTTACATGTTGTCAAGTGAGGAATCCACCAGTTGCTACAAAGAGAGCTTGCCCCACTTTAAAATGAACTTGTCCAACTTTACATGTTGTCAAGTGAGGAATCCACCAGTTGCTACAAAGAGATCTCGCCCCACTTCAAAATAAACACCTCCAACTTTACATGTTGTCAAGTGAGGAATCCACCAGTTGCTACAAAGAGATCTCGCCCCGCTTCAGAATGACCTCAGGGTTTTCATAGGGTAATAAACCCACCAAACAAACCTCAGTCCACAGAGAATAAGCTGTTTTGTATCACCTGTTTTATTTCTCAGAAATAAATAAAGGAATGTTTCTCAGAAAATTGCCAGTAGGCCTCCATAGATTTTAGTATAGATGAATATGTTGTATTTACCTGCTGTAAAATTATGAATATTTCTTAATTAACAGGTGTATGTCGACCCCAGAAATCCAGATCAAGCCAGGTCTGAAACTCAAAACCTTATCAGCATGCTTGACGAGAACAAGGATGGACTCATCTCTGTGGAGGAAATGATGTCCAACAGGGACATCTTTGTCAGTAGTAAATGTGTTGATGTGAAACGGGTCCTTCATGATGAATTCTAAATTTGGATATTTGTTACAGTTTTGAATCAGGCACTCAAAAAAGAGGATCCATCTTTGACAGATTTAAAGGATTGATAAAAATAATACTTTAGGGACTTAGCTAATGTTGATATTTGAATTTGAATTTTTCAAGCTGAAAACACTCAAATTAGACTAAGTTGAGGGATTTGAACCCTAAAATTTGATAAAAATAATTCCCTAGAGATTTAGAATCTGAATCTAATTCCATCATATCCAGTATAGCGGGGCAAATTATTTCACACTTTACCTTGTACGAAAATATTGGCTTTGTAGATAATGTATGTTACCAGTATGGATCTCTTCCTTAAATGGTTTTCAAAATGTAATGACATTAGGTAATGTTTCATATCAATATTAGATTGACCTGTGAGGCAGGTGTTTATGTGTGAAGTTTTTAAGCATTTAAAATGGTATTTCAGTTATTGCTGTAGAAATCTAAATTAATTTCAAAATGACAAGACCTCAAGATAAAACATAAACATAAAAAAGTGATTTTATTTTCCTGAATATTTTGACATTTAAGCACTGAAATATAACACCATTGTATATCATTTTTTGTAGTGGGTGTTTTTGTTTATTATGACAATTTTATGTAATCAATTGTATATAGTACAGCAGGTGCTATGTAGAGGGAATTTTTTTTTCCTTGAATAAAAAATATAAGAGTTGTAATAGTTTTCTCAGTTAACTTACATGTTTGTTATCGATGAAGATTTTTTATTATCAGTATTTAGTCTTTATATAGATCGCTGAATTTATTCCCATAAAGAATTATCTCCCCTTAGTTAACTGATGTTATACTTACCTAACGAGACTTGGGTTGCTTTTGCGTAAGAAGTTGAAACAGTTTGACTGGTTAAACCTGCAAAAAAATGCCAGGTACAGATCAGGATCGAGGCTGGACAGCAGAATAATTGGCAGATTGAAGGGTCCAGCCATACCTGTCTGAAACTAAATCGTTGAATATCTATAGTTCAGATTTTCAGCATAATGTAGGGTCAATGCTCTCACATACTTCCAGAAGCATGTTGCTATTAAGTATAAGTGAAATAGATGGTACCTTAATTTTAGTTAACTGATTAGGAAATTACAAAACTTTACGTAAAGCAGGACCAACATCCAGGACATGTGAGAATATTTCTAGACCCCTTCAACTGGGTTACCCTAAAGCGGCCTGAGGAATGTGTTGTTGGTTTTTTTAAATTAATATGCTTTATAACACTTTATCACAGCCAATGCTTTGAAGTTTTAACTGCATGTGAATTAGCTGTTTTAGTTGTCATACAAGGGTTATTCTGGTATGTTTACATTTAAAACGATCTTACAGCTGTCAGATTATTTCCCCAGGTGGTGTACCAAATCTTAGGTCATTTTGAAATATCGATGTGAACTTGTGAATCATTGTATATAGCTCTGGAAATCAAATCATATTATCAAACATTCCAAATATTGTTTGCCACTGTGTGCAATTCATGATATACTTGTAGATGTCATTAGTCATTATTTCTTCATGGTAGAAATAGCTGGAGCTGTAAATTCATTTATCATATTTCTTTCATAAGAAATTTTTTATTTTCCATCTCTCAGTTTAAGTGAATTTTGATCTCGAAAATTTCTGTATTTACAATATCTAGGTTGTTAAGAATTTTGTTCTAACATATATGAATTTATAATTTCAAACAAGGCAATTCATTAAATAGTCACTGTACCACATTATTTCCTATTAGATAAGATGATATTTTAAAACATCACAAATAGACTGTTATTCATCAACAAAATAAATCAGGCAAATTTTAGTCTCATCAAAACTCCAAATTTGCAAACTGGAGAATTTAGAAAAGGCATCTTATTATGTTAGCAAAATGTACACACTCCAGTTATGGGATAGTTGAAACACAGTAACATTTGTTATAGACTGAACACCAAGGGTATGTAATGATACTCTTCACCAGAAATCATCCAAAATAATTTTTTAATAGAGCTGGTCGTATTTTGCTGCAATGGTGATCAATGGTGATAAAGTGTCATTATACAATGTGTAGTTAAAATGATTGGAACCATCTTAAAATGTTTTAAGCTGTTACAGACAGAGGGTATTTATATATATATTATTACTAAAGCAGGTTTGACAAAGCACTTACCATATTTGTAAAGGCAATAAGATGAAGGGAAAATTATTTCAAACTCGGATTAGGAAACTGGGCTTATTACAGGAGGTTTATCAACGTTTGTTGGCATTTCTGCTGAGACTGTGATAGATGTGGACAGGCTTATTAACAGACGTGGGCTTATTGTGCTGATAAACATACAGTATTGTAGGAGACATGTTATTAATACTATTGGAGCCTGAAAAACAGATATGTCGATTATGGCAATCCTAACTGGTGGAGTTTGATTTTGCATTTGATTTTCGAAAGCTTTTCTTTATTCGTTTTTTAAACTTTTATTTTCTGTGTGGATGAAATTTGATTTAACATTTACTGTTACCCAACTTTGTGACTGTATCGATTTGAATTGTACTCCAGCTGATCTGAAAAAGATTTTCAAATTTACTTGTAACCCTATTTTGTACTTACTAGAGGTGGCCCTGATTTTAGTGATAGCAAATGTAGTTCATCATAAAGATTATTCATTATTAATATATGTATTAAAAGTGAGATTGTTCTTTCTGAAAGATTTTGTTGAGTTAAGAAAAGAAATACTCAGAACCGAAATGGTATATGTTATACATTGTATTGAGCAATAGTATGACAGTCAGGATGTTAATCACTCGCTACAGACATTCCCACAACACCTACCGTTTCAGGGATTTGAATGATAGAAATAGTCCGTGAAAATCATTAAGTCAAATTATTCTATTGTCAGATATAACTGGATTGATAATTTTGTCTTTTAGTAATGCTGAGTTATCTGCCCTTGTGAGCAGGTTTTCATTGTTGCATTATTTGTTTGTAAGAGTAACATCGTGAGATAATGACGTAATTTTCTTGATAAACTATTGACACAATAGTCGGTACCTGGTTACAAGAGCAGATAACTCTGCATTATGAAAAGATGGAATAGGGTTGTTGCAGTTCAAAATTTGACCATTGGAATCAGATTTAGAATTAACAAATCTGCAAGGGTCGTGTAAATACATGATTTGCATGACCTCTATGAGTACCAAAAACAACAACAAAAACAATAAATAAACAAAAAAAACAAAACTGATTTTATTTGACTTTTAAGAGCTGTAATGATAATTATGACAAAACATATATTAAGTTTCTGCACTGATAAGTACAGTGTCAAAATTTAATATTAAAATTTCAGATTTAAAGGCAGTGTTGATGAGATTGTTGAGTTTTACTTAATATCAGTTTAATCATTGTTGTGTAATGTTTACTTAGAGTTGGTTAGCTCACACTCTCTATATCTGTATCACCTATTTTATTTCCCAGAAATGGCCAGCAACTCCCTCTACAGACACTGAAGTAAAAGTAATATCTATTTATTGCAATGCCAATAGTTGGATTTGTATCTGGACCTCTGGCTTACAAAGCTTATATTGATAACACTAAACCAGTTGAGCGAAAGGGAAGTTCTCTCTAGCTGTTGTTAGTAAAACTGCTGTAAATACTTGCAAAAAATGTGTTTTTTTTCTCAAGTGAATCGAAGTCAGAAATTTGCTTGAGGTTTTTAGATAACTTCTGCTATATTTTCCAAATTTTTGCCAGCAAACTTCTGTATAATTCAAATTTTTAAAAAAAAAGGCTCATGTTTTTTAGGGGTTTTAAGGACAAATACTTCAAATATAGTTTTATATATCATGTCTTTTTGTGATGTTCATCATCGGTAGATTTTATGTTTTATGTAAGTTTTTAATGATCAAAATGTTGATTTGTTGTACATATATATGAACTGTTATTTATTGCTCTGGTGAAATATTTTGTGATAATGATGTAAACAAAACTATGTGTTGATTCATTCTATTAGTGTAAAGGATTTTTCATATATCTCTGCACTTATGCTTTATTGTATATTTTCTCAGTGTGAAATACATATTTCATCAGAATTGTAAGGTTTACTCAATAACTAAGTGTTCAGTTCAGCACTTTTCTTGGTTTGGCTTATCAATGAAATAATATCTTCTCCAGTATATTGGGTCGTTGGGAAGATTGTCCAGGATGATTTATGTTGAAAATTAGAAGGATGTACCCAAGTCTTGTATGTGATACTAGAAAAAAAATACTAGAGCAATGAAAAATGAAGAGCTAAAAATCTTTTCTTGAATGTAAGATGAAAGAGAAGGCTGCACCAAAGAGAAGAATTTGACAAAAAGTCTTTTTATAGAATACTCTTGTTTGGGATATTAGATATTAAATAGAAGACTTATTCCAAATCTTTTCTAAGATGCTAGAAAAAAGAATATTAGACATAGAATATGGGATATGAGACATTAAATAGAGAACTTATTCCAAATATTTTCTAGGATGCCAGAAAAAAGAATATTAGACATAGAATATGGGATATGAGACATTAAATAGAAGACTTATTCCAAATCTTTTCTAGGATGCTAGAAAAAAAAAGAATATTAGACAAAGAATATTCTTCACTGGGATATGAGACATTAAATAGAAGACTTATTCCAAATCTTTTCTAGGATGCTAGAAAAAAAAGAATATTAGACAAAGAGCACTCAAACTCTTTTAATTAATTCAGACAAAAGTGAATTGTGTACTCAAAATTTTGTCTTTGATAGTAGAAAAATCAGATACTAGACAAAAGGAAGGGATATACCATAAATGTTTCCTTGGATACGAGAAAAAATAGGATATAAGACAATAGAGAGGAGTGTTCCTAAAATCAATTTTAGAAAGCCAGACTGAAGTTCAGAGAAGGGTGTATCCAAGAAAATAAAATAAATAGCATTAGATCACGATAAATGAAAGAGGACACCAATCCTATTTATTTTGGAACATGAATAAAGGATAAATTTACGGAAGATTTAGTAGCAAATAAACGTATCATCAGCAAAATAATGGTGAATGTGATGAAAAATGAAGTAAATAAAGTAAGTATTTGAGTAGGTAAAGAAAAAATAGAGTTTGAATGCATTTCTAAATAAATTAATTACGTATACAAATATGTTGATAATCAGGAGGGAATTTCAAATAGGTTTTCTTTTTATGATATGTTTGTCTGAAATGTGTCTCATTTTAAGATTGTTTTTATGTTACAACATGCTCCTTTTATAATTTCACATTGCTATGGTGGAAGGTGGAATAGAGCACCATAAATAATGTTATATTGTATTAAGGTTTTTAATGTGTCTTTAGTATACGTTAGTGCACATGTCTTACACGGATCTAAATGTTTAAAATACTAAGTTGTTTGATCAAATAAAAATGTTTGTCTTGTTTTTCATTTTCTGTTCTTTTATTTCTTTCATTATGTGGATAAAGAAAACCATTACAGATTTTCAGATTATGTGATGGCACTCATGGTGATATAAATGCAACATATTTTGGATTGTGAGTTACTTAAAGGCGTTAGTACTGCTCCCGATGTACACATGTAGTATGTAGATGACTGTAACCTTGGGATATCTAATTAAATCATAGGCTTTTGATTGGTTCCAGGCAAAAAAGCTTGATGAATCACAAGGCTGATTTCTGTCTCTTGAAGATAACATTGATTACAGTACCAATATATTAACATCTATGCTACATTTCCTTTTAGAAGTCCCTGCCAGTAAAACCTGGGGGAGGGGTGCTATAGTTTATCTGGGCCCCATCTGTCCCTGCATCTGTGAAGGTTTGTCAGTGCTCAAGCAGCTTGATTCACACAAATTGAGCATCAAAATATTTTGAACATGTTCGAGTTTAAGGGTTTTTAAGGTCAAGGTAAAGGTCACATTCTAATTTTAGAAAGTCATTGTCGGTACTCTTGTGACTTCATTCCTTACAGGATTCTCATCAAACGTCATACACTTCTATTATATAAAGCATCAAAATACTTTGTTAAGTTTTAATTTCAGGGTCAAGATCAAGTTTGCTTTAACTGTTTTCAAATCAATACAGTGTAAAAGCTTGTGGGGGCTGGTAGTGGACATACATTGCTTAAGAAATACGCTAGATTTAACCGAGGAGATGGATGATAAATATGCTGCTTTGATAAATTTTCAGTTATTCAATCTGGGTCATACCTTAAATTGAGATCTTTTTATTGTAGTTTGTCAACAGTTTTGATGTGCAAAAATTAAACAAACAAAAATTAATAAATGACAAATAAAAGACCCCAAAAATTTCACAACTTCTAAATATGGAAATCTGTATGGCCTGTAATAATAGAATATGTTTATGATTGTCTTCACTATGAGCTGTAGTTAATGTTTATTATGTAAATAAACAGTTTACACCCCGTCTGGAAAACCTCGCCATATAGGAATAATCTTTACAGGTAACACACCTTTCGGACTCGTCCAGGAAAAAAGCTATCAGTCTCCAGCAAACCCCAGATCAACGTACAACTGAGGCTGATTAAGGTCAGCATTTTTTTCCCCAATAATCCTCAGGGTATTTTTTTTCACATTTAATTAGATATGTTTTCACCTGATAGCAATTCCTGAAAACAATAATGAAGTATTTGGCAATGATTGAAAGATATATAATCTACAAAACTTTCATGACATGAAACCAATGAAAATATAACTTTATGTTTCATTTCTTTGATTTACAATGAATGTTTTGTTGTTCAACTTTTTGTAAAAGTCATGCTCATTTTAAGGGAAAAGTTATCAAAGGACAGGTTATGAGAGTTGTGCCATGGTATGAGCACTTTTAAATGACACCCTACTTTTTAACAAATCATATTTCAAACTTATTTAGAACTTTTATTATAAGATTACAGTTCAATATTATGCACATAATGACACTGACTGACCCCCCAAGACTGATGGGCGGGGCCAAAAAGGGTCAAAATGACTGAAAAATGATAATTTTAACAAATGAAAAATTTGCAATCTGGATGTAAAAGAACATCCAATACACATGTCTCATTGATTCACAGATTCAAATGTTTGCAGTCATGTTAAGTACTATGAAACAGAGAAACAGAAAATACAGTCCCAACAAAAATACCTAGCTATATGATATCTGGTATCAAATTTAAGCATAAGAAATCTTAAATCAGAACTAAAGCAAACACAGATGTGTAGAAATTTTATTATAAAAGCATATTCTCACAGGAATTTTACACGTACATAATAAAAATAATTTTAAATACCAAGCAATAATATACATCAATAACAGAAACAAAGCCAATACTTTTACCATACATTTTACCTTATCTCCGTTTGGAGGACTGAATGTGTAAGATTTAGAAAACAAAAGAAAATTCTATAAGATTTCAAAAGGAACCAGTAAGAACATTTTACTAGTAAATTTGTCTAATAAAACATGATTTAAGTCTCTTCAAACTTTAGACAAATTATAATTTTCATGGAATGTTCTCCTGTACTTGGAGGTCACCTTTTGGGCTGAGCATCCTTAAATACTCTTCCATCTCGTAATGATATTAGGTACGTACTGATTTGATGAGCTCCCAGGTTCATTCTTGTATTTCATTCATGCACGTAGGAGTTTAGAATGTGTACAATCTCCCAGTTAAAATAAAAGTGTAGATAAACAGGGAGAGAAAGAACATTTCAGACTGATAAATAACGAAAAAAAATACAACAAAAATGTATTAATGAAAATGTTCTCAGCCCAAGTATTTTACACATCAATTTGAATTTCTCCATTCCTGATCTCCTGGGTAAACAAGCGAGAAATAAGTAAGTACAAGTCTATGTTTTCCATGAGGGCAACGACTCAAATCAACAATCAACCAGTTACAATTAAAACACCTGTCATAGGTCTAAACATATTGTGATCTTGCATGGAAACAGGCAGAATTTGTACACACAAGGTAAGTATAACTGTGTACCACCCCATCTGGTGCCTCACAGGTGAAGATTACAATCCAGTACCCCATGCTGCAACTTTTGACCAACCAGAAGTGTGGATCATTGTCATATAAGGAAAAAATTATTGACCTGTTTTCAGGTAAATACGAGAATTAATTAACCTTCAAAGGTGATATTTCACAAGGCTGTTTATCCTTGAAGGTGATGTTTCCCGAGGAAGCTGACCCTCGAAAGAGATGTTTCCTCGAGGCCGAATATCACTTCTCAGGTTAATAAATCCTTGTATTCACATGAAAAAGGTCACCAGTAACAGTAATTGTTACATTCTAAAATCCTTTTTTCTAAATTGGAAATAAATACATTTTATTCTTGAACTCAAAACTAAAATATAAAAAAAATCTATCTCATTTATTTTAAAGTTAATTGTAAAAAAGCACAATAACTTAATATTCTTTTTTTTTTTTTTTTTTAAACAATTTCAAAATCAAGGATGTAATACATCTTGAGTAAAGCTGTTTAGAGGTGGTACAATTTATATCAATCCATATACATCAATGTAAATGCGTAAATTCTTAGGTACAAAAATACACATATATTAAAACAGACCAAGACAAACATATATTGGTATACACTTTGTCTCTAGCCCTTATAAGTTTAAAAAGGAAAAAAAAGGTTATGTACACCAGAATAACTCTTCTACGAAAATTATGTCTTCTATAAGATACAAGAAAACAAAGTACAGCATTAATTCTAAGTATTCCCTACTTATTTTCACTATACTATAATTACTATAATCTTATCAACATTGTGTCAGACTACTTTCCACCTGTGTGTTTATAGAAGGTGTGTTAAGGAAGTCCAGTGATTTAATACCTTGTTCACTGTGTATTTCACCGATATATGCGTCACACTAGTGATTTGTCTGACAAAGGTAACATGGTAATCATCGAGACATCACACATATTTTTCTAACTGGTTTGTATATATACATGGTAGATTGTTGTTCATTATCACTATGAATTACATAATACTGGTACTTAATTTAAGCCCTAATGACAATCTTCATTTCAAGAGAAATGCAGATTCATTAAATTGATATTAATGATCCAGAAAAGCAAATGAAATCCCTATAACAGAATGCTGTTCTCACATTAAAAAAAAATCAACATGGCTACATAATCATGATTCAAACTCAAATTCCATAAAACTAGGGAAAAATTTGAATAAAAGAAATATTTACACTAAGACTCCTGAATAAGTGCAAGGAGAGTAAGACCAGGTGTTCCTGAAGAGGAAGCATCTTTTGCTTCATTGACAACACACGCCATGTAAACCTTTGTCAATTCGGGTAAGTAATGTCACGTTCTCAAATAAGAACAATGTATACAACAACAGAACCAACAGGCAAACTAAAGTAAGAGGGAAAATGTTCATATGCAACATCTTCTTTTGATGTGAATAAAAATCCATAACTCTTCACTAGTGATGAGCTGACAATATTTTGTGAAAGAACAGAGAAAAACAAATTCCTTTTCAAAATAAATATTCTTGATTATTTTACAACAATTCTGAAACAAGTTTTTCCAACTTAAATTTATCACTCTTGTTGGCCTGGATTGAAGCACATAAAGGGTCTTACTGTGGGAGGTAACCAGAGTACCCGGGGAAAACTCACGTGGTCGGGCAGGTGACCCCATACCTTTATGTCCATTTCGGGTATCGAACCCCAGACAGCTATGTAAAAGGCAAGAGCGTTACCACTGCACCACCTATCCACCCTGTCAAAAGACCTTGCCGGAACCAAACCCTGGTCTCTGGTTTGATAATTCATGACTTTACCATTTAGGCCAATGAAACATGCTCCATCACCATGAGTATGTACCCACCCACCCCTTTGACAGTTTTCAAAGTGTATCACAATGTGTAAAAGTAATAATACAAGCTTCTACTTCATTCAAAAGTAATTCATAATGGCCAGCCATGCTGTTATCACTGAAGTAAATATTTCATTAAAGTTTAACTCTATCTTTCAATAAAACAGAAATCTTGTTACACTTCCATGAAACCCTTTAACATGGTAAAACAATCATCAACACAGCCCAGAAAAATGTCAAAAGCTTGTGAAGAAATTGAGTATTTAACGGGAGTGTGAAAAATCTTGGTAGAAATTATGAAGCTTTGAATATATTGTGGGTATACTGTTCTACAATGTAGTTTTTCTGTTTTTTAACATGAGGGGTACACAGAGCTATCAAAAATATATATTTTTTTCAAATGTTGATACAACACCAAAATGCTCTATACAATTATTATATACAACACACAAGTTTATTATTATTTTTAGGCTGGGTAACTGTTATAAGGATGTTTTTTCTTTTCTCATTAATTTGAATTAAAACACATAATTATGTAGTTTAACCATAATACTAAATGTACTGTGTGACAGTTGAAGCTTTTCTTCCTCACAATAAATCAGAAAATGATTGGTATGATCATGTGGGGTTAGACTGAACGCACTGTGAGGATTGTTTCACAGTATCTTCCCAAATATAATACACATCAAAACAATATGATCATATATGATATGAATGGTAAAAAAACAAGTAGAATATTGCAATAATTTTTATTTTTGGTCTAAATGATGTGGAAAAATGTGTAAAATATGTGTTTTTATTGTCTTGTTTGTCTTGAGTTCTCTCCCTTCCACTGTTATCAATTCTGACACTTTTATAGCATTTTATTGCATCATAACGTTTTTTTTTTTGTGTTTTTTTTTTTTCTATTTCATAATTATTGTATCTATAGGGACTTGGCATAAATTCTCAACCCACAGTCCATATGAATGTCATTGAGAATTCTGGATATATATGGACTGTGGGTTGAGAATTCTGGATATATATGGACTGTGGGTTGAGAATTCATGCGAAGTCCCTATGATTGAATCATATCAGAAAAATTCAGTATAAAACAGATCATAGTTTTCTTTGTTAAATTATTTTTCAAGAAATCAGCTCTCAGCATGTAAAAAGCGTAAATGTGTACATTGACTTTGAAGGTCAGCAGAACGTTTTAATATCTCAGTTTTGTAATTATTTTGAGATCTATTTCAATAATTCTTTTTGACGTTTAGCTTTATATACTTTGCATTATAAAATATTTTTCAGATAAAGTCTAAAATCTTCCACTGAAGATCCTGCTTCCATTAACAATGCTTTACTGTACACTCGTAAGGTGTAAAACAAAGTGACAAAGTCTGTCGTGCTAAAGAAAGTGTCTGCTAAGGCAAATCCCAAAGTGGAAGGAATAAATCCACGACCATATTCCACCATCCACGTACCAGCTTTCCACTGAACAGCTGTTACCTCACCCCATGCATGGAAAACAGTTTCACCTACAAACATAACACAAATCATCATATACATTCCACTGATCCTCATCATTGGAAGTAACAATTATTAGAATATAAACAACAGATTTCTAAAACAAATTGAAATAATAGTAATAATATATTCAAAATAAATGAATTGATAGAATAAACAATTAATTATCATTTTAATTTTTCGGCTGAAATTAAAGTTTGACCAGAATAAGTATTATATATATATATGTGTATATGTTTGTATCTTACTATCACAAAATATTTCAGAAGATACAAAATAATTCAGCCCATCTCATTGAATTTTGTTTCCTATTTGTTTGTTCGTTAGGTTAATTGCCCTGTTTAATGAGGGGTCATTTTGAGGTGGCTACTTCACTGCAAAGCATATATAGAAGCCACTCCATCCAACAGCAATTAGGGTAGAATGTCTACTTTATATAAAGACATAATCACATGAGCACAGACTGGTCTATTTCTTAGCTTAGGAAACAAACACCACTAAGGGAAGGGAGCTTTGAACCATACACCTCAGGTGATGTAGGCCAGTCGTCTCACTGACTGAACTATCACTGCCCATGGTCTAACCGACTGAGATATCACAGCCCCCAGTCTAACTGACTGAAATATCATGGCCCCCAGTCTAATCGATTAACATATCACAGCCTCCAGTCTAACCGACTGAGATATCACAACCCCCAGTCTAACCGACTGAGATATCATGGCCCCAGTCGAACCGACTGAGATATCACAGCCCCCAGTCGAACCGATTGAGATATCACAGCCCCCAGTCTAACCGACTGAGATATCACAGCCCCCAGTCTAACCGACTGAGATATCATGGCCCCAGTCGAACCGACTGAGATATCACAACCCCCAGTCGAACCGATTGAGATATCACAGCCCCCAGTCTAACCGACTGAGATATCACAGCCCCCAGTCTAACTGACTGAGATATCATGGCCCCAGTCGAACCGACTGAGATATCACAGCCCCCAGTCTAACCGACTGAGATATCATGGCCCCAGTCGAACCGACTGGAGATATCACAGTCCCCAGTCGAACCGACTGAGATATCACAGCCCCCAGTCTTACCGACTGAGATATCACAGCCCCCAGTCTAACCGAGTGAGATATCATGGCCCCAGTCGAACCGACTGAGATATCATGGCCCCAGTCGAACCGACTGAGATATCACAGCCTCCAGTCTAACCGACTGAGATATCACAGCCCCCAGTCTAACTGACTAAGATATCACAGCCCCCAGTCTAACTGACTGAGATATCACAGCCCCCAGTCTAATTGACTGAGATATCACAGCCCCCAGTCTAACTGACTGAGATATCACAGCCCCCAGTCTAACTGATTAACATATCACAGCCCCCAGTCTTACCGACTGAGATATCACGGCCCCCAGTCTAACTGATTAACATATCACAGCCCCCAGTCTAACTGATTAACATATCACGGCCCTCAGTCTAACTGATTAAGATATCACAGCCCCCAGTCTAACTGATTAAGATATCACAGCCCCCAGTCTAACCGATTGAGATATCACAGCCCCCAGTCTTACTGATTAAGATATCACAGCCCCCAGTCTAACTGATTAAGATATCACGGCCCCCAGTCTAATGGATTAAGATATCACAGCCCCCAGTCTGATTAAGATATCACAGCCCCAGTCTAACAGATAAAGATATCACAGCCCCCAGTCTAACCGACTGAGATATCACAGCCCCCAGTCTAACCAACTAGCTATCACAGCCCCAGTTTTGTTTTAATTCTTTCAATTTAATATGATTTTAATGAAATAATATCTTATATATTAATTTAATCACATATTTTGTAATTGATCATGTTTTGAAACTGATATGGCGACATTAAAAATAATAGTGATGATAACGTAGCTACATGATTGGAAACTGTCATTTCAGATCAAACATCTCTACATATAAAAGCATGGTACTTAAATCATTTACATCGCATCTTCTTTTCAGAACAGGATGCTACCTCCACCCCTCCCGATTTCATTCTATATATAACTTTTTTTTGAAGAATTTGTGATGGTCAATCCTGAAGTGTTTCCTTACTTAGCCATCACATCATACAATGGTCATGATTTACTGTAAAGAGTCAGTCCATATCTGATCCAAAACCTGTGATCTTAAAAGATTGATGAAAATCAATTTTACCAAATAGCTACTTACGTAAATATTTGAAAATACTTTAACAGTTATTTTTAGCAAGTTCCATACTTTTGATTCTTTTTGAGAGAGGAATATATTTGCAAAACAAGAGGCCCAATGGGCCTGCATCACTCACCTGGTATTCAATGTTCATAAAAATTAGAATCAATGCTTATCACAAATACATTAACATGTCCACTATTGGTATTCAAAGTGAGCACATCCAATCAATATTGACCAATTACAACATCCAAGAGTTTCTAATGACTCTAAACAGTGACAGCTGTGACATGGATTATACATTAAGTGTCATTTTTCATGAATATGGTTCACAGCCATTGCTGACTTTCTTTTTCAAAAACTTTGTTGGGCTTCATCCCAGAGAACTCTCAGCTAAATATCATGCTCCTGGACCTATAGATTAGTCAGAAGTAGTTAATAAAAGGTTTTAAAAAATTCAACCCTGTGTCTTTGAATTAGGTTCAAGGTCATTTCATTTTGCAAAATTTGTCCGGCTGTATCCTAGAAACCAATCAGTCAAATACCATAACCTCTAAGCTTATTGATTAATCAGAAGAAGTTGCTATAAAGTTCTACAAAACCTGATCCATGTGACCTTGAATAAGGGTCAAGCTCCTTTCTTTTGTATATTTTGTTGGGCTTCATCCTAGGAACCTACGAGCCCAATACCATGCTTCTGTGCCATTTGCATAGTCAGAAGAGGACATTCTGGCATTTAAACAAAGTTTATTCCGGTGACCTTGAATAAGGTTTGAGGTCATTCCTTTAGGCTTCATCTTAGGAATCTATCATCCAATTACCGTCTTTCTCCCCTTTCGGTTAGTCAGAAAAAGTTATTTTATGGTTTTAAAAAATTTGACCCCTATGACCCTGAGTAAGGGCCAAGGTCATTTCTTTTACAAAACTTTGTCGGGCTTCATGCTAAGCAACTATATGCCAAATAAACATTTGCACCTTTCGCTTAGATTTTTGTGTTTGTGGATTCCCACAAACAATGGTTCAATTTAACTTTTGGCAAAATGGTCAAAATTTGCAAATTCAAAAAAGAAAATAAACACATCATTTTCAAGTAAATGCATTAAGTTTTATACCTGCCAACTTTCCCAATTCAGTCTGGAGTTTCCTGATTTTCAATCCCCAGCCCCGCCCCCTGATCGTATGAATCAAAATTGGGGGAATCTCCCTATTTAGTTTTGAATGGTACATAAATATTATTTATGGTGTATGCATATAATCCTACAGAGAACAAAATGCATGACATTGAAGTATCACATCAAGCGCCTGCCAAGAGTGAGGTTTTAAATGATGAAAATAACAGTTTTTCACAGAAATAATTCAAATAACACAAAGAGTTATATTAGTACCTGGTGAAAAAACTTTGGAGGATAAGTGACCTTCCTTCCACTGCCTAAACGATCCAGTTATTATTGTGTCTGAAATATTGGCCCAGTATCTTCCTGTTGGAAAAAAAGTACAAGTTGAAAATATCATTGTTGATGTCTTTTATGTTAAAGAAAAACAAATATAGTTTAAATATCTTATTTTTAATTAATATGCATGAAATATCCAAAATAAAGAAAAGATTAAATCTAATACCAGAGCAATTCATCAGAAAATTATTTTATATTCCTTGGTTACGCGTAATTAACAACAATAATTTCAAACCTTATATCTCTTTCAAAACAAAATATTTCCTCCCACAGGGACCTGACACAGATTCCCAACCTATGGTCCATTTTTTTTAAATCTTTATTTTCATAATATTTGTCAAAATATTTTCAGTGTAAAAACTTGTTACTATTTTACGCCAGTGTTTTCTTATACCTATAATATTGATGTCTTACTGGTGTTAGTGAAAGAGTTGCTGCCCTTTGAACAAGATACACTTGCATATCTTTTTTGTGATAGTACATATAATGATATTAATACTGATATATTACAAAATGAATCCAAACTGGAAAATATGGACATCAAATAAAATACTTGTAACTGATGCTGACGTAGAAATCCAGATCATTATCAGGCACTATTGAACCTGTCAAAATAAATTTTTCACTTGTTCATTAAATGATAAATTCTGTAATGATTGAACGAGTATAACTTACATCTATTTATGATTGATACCATCAGTCTGCTCCAAAACAAGAAAATTGTAATGAGATGGTGTTTCCAAAGTACATTGGCATTATTTACAAAACTCTACAGCCAACTCTTACCAAATTAACAAATCCATGATCAAAAGATCTGTATCTTTTCACAAGTCAAAGGCTCTGCCTACCTAAAGTCATGCCAACATACAAACTGTAATGCCATTCATTTGGCAGAGTCTGACTATATTGAATGGATACCAAATCTACAAGTTTAGTAATCGGTCATCAACTTGTTTATTTGAACTCATTTCCAGAAAATGTCATCATTTTTAGCCATTTTGAGGATTGGTACATGCTTTCAATTTTTGGTCTTACCAAAGCCTAGATAATGTTACATATAGAATCCAATGATCTGGTTAGACACTGGCATCTGGAAAGCAAGTTTTTCTGAGAAAACCTGTCCGATCATATTAACTGAGTTCTGTACATAGATATTGTGCCATTTATACGATCTGATTACAGTTAGATCAAAGCACTGGCCAGATTGATATATATTTGAGAATAGATTTCTCTCTAGATTAATCATCAAAGTTGAAGCCAAAGAACAAGATCCAGTAATTTTAACCTTCTAAAGATATCGGCGTTGCTAGACATGTTTGTCACTGAAGGTGTAGACTTCCCCACTAAGACTACATGTATATGAAAATAATACAAACTTTATTCATTAATTAGATGCAAAACAAGCTATCAGTTTATATTATTAAATCTTGTTGGCCAGGATGAAAGCACATGAGGGATCTTACTATCTACATGGGTACTTAGAGAAATCAATGTGGTCTGGCAGGTGACTCCCTTACCCTTTCAGGTCAAATCAGGAGATTGAACCCCAGACATCCAGGTGAAAGGCAAGTGTGTTACCACCCAACCATCCAATATATGGAAATGATCACTTAATAATATAATGGTAAAGAAAATATGAGAGATGTCAGTTTTCGTGTCCAAAATACTATAACACTGGTATATGAAGATCTGGTAAAGTATCAGCTGCACTTTACTGCTTGGCAAGAGAGTTTTCTCTTTAGCTCTTGACTGGGTCCCATGGTAAAACTCATCCCTGATCTTATTATTATAAGGCTAAAGACAAAGTTTCATCAAAGTCTGTTCATACTTACTCAAGTAATATTGTTTACAAATTCCAAAGGTAATTACACTTTAAAGGGCCATAACTCTGTAAATTACAATAAAATTGGTCCCATTGTCAAATTAATCCCTGATCTTATTGATACAAGGCATCATTCCAAATACAATCAAAATTGTTTAATATTTACTCAAGTTATCATATTCGCAGGGAAAAGTTAATGTATAATAACTGAGAACAACGACATCTATAGGTCACTATGACCAATGGTCAAGTGAGACAATAAAAGATAATCAGTTAAAAACATTCAGTGACTACATTCAGTCACCTTTATTAGTCAAATTAGGAAACAAAATGCAGTCAACTGAAAGATTTATGGTACACATACAATAAGCCCATGCAAGACTTCAGTTGTGTGACAGGAAAAATCGAAAGAATTAAAATAAAAGTACCGCAGCTTGGGAAAAACAATATATGCTCATGCCATGCTGAAGATATAACCATGATTTCTGTATCAAAACAAATACAAATAAGGATAATAGTTCAATAATCAAGAAGAAAAACAGCACTATGTGTTTTACTGATAACTTAACGCAAACCAAGTATTTAAGAGGTTTGTTCAAAATTGAAAGAAGAAATCTCTGGACAAGATTCAAAGTCTGGAAAAAAAACAACAAAAACAAAAAACAGAGCAAGAAATCTTCCCAAAACTGTAAAATCAAAACGTCAATTCAGAAAACATAATTTCATGTAATGATGAGCATACCAAGTTTCAGGGAACGGTTAAAAAGTGAAGGAGATTTCTATTCAAAATTACAAGGCCATAAAGCAAAGGGCAATATTTCCTTTAAAATTATTAGATCAAACTGCAAATAAGGAAAACAGAACATCATTTCTAGGTGATTAAGTCTACCATGTTAGAAAGAAAAAAGTTTATAACTTAGAAATGTGATCACCATACCATTACGTACGTAACAAAGGACATTATCTCTTCTGATTACGATCAACAACTTCATATCATGGTATCAGATATCAAGTCTTCAATGTTTAAAAAAAAATCAATTAAAATCTATGTAGGAAGATCTCCAGACAAATAAAAGATTACGACAGATATTAACATATCAAAATATCTCATGAAAATTTTGTGATGGGCATTTTACGATGCAAGAAGGATGATTCTAAAGCCCTGTCCCAGTGTAACAATTCTTCAGAATTCGTTCAAAACTGAGGAAAATGTTTTCCGAAATTTATACAAATCAATTCTAACTCAATCATTATCATAGATAGATCAACAATGTGTCTTTTTTATCACTAGCCTCAGTATAATATAAAATAAGTTTCGGAGTTAATCAATCTTAGCAGAGTTAAAGGTCAAGAAGAAGCACAAAATCTTTATTATGATGTTCTTTGTTTTAAACATTATGATTTGTATTACATTTGGCCATCACTGTCCCATTACAACAGTACTACACCTCCAATGTACATGTATAGTGTTGTATGTCATGGTTTGCCAGCCACTCAAATATTTAGGCTGTTCCTGTCACTGGATTTACTAAATCACATAAGATTTTTGTGTAATATAAAACTATATACCTAGCTAATATTGTCCAAAATGTTGTTGGTAGTGTAGATTTAAATAATTACATATTTTTTGCAAATAATCATAGTCATTAAGTCATTGTATGATATTGTTATCTAGTGGGTGGCAATAGGTCTTATAGGATTTGCTATTCGCTATATGTCACATGCAATTATATCGACTATAATTACATTCCGAAAACATTTCACTGATAAATAAGTACATTACCAGAGTTTCCTGAAGTGTCTACAGCTGTTCCAAAGAACAAGATGTATTCTGTGAGTGAGGCATGCAGTATACACATGCTGCCCATCCATCCGCCAGCGTTCATAAACATCCACTGTTCATCCTCTTCGGACAAAATGTGTCCTGGGAAACGTTTACGAAGTTCTGTCTTGATTTTATTATATGCAAACTCAACTCCTTGTCCTGTAAATATATAAGAAAACATCTTCAAAAACATATATAACTGTGCTTCATGTTAAAATGAGTTCATAAATAAATCATGCAATGCTCAATATGACATTTCTAAATGCAAGCTTTAAACTTAACTTTAAGTTAAATCTATTGATTTTCCCATGTAACTTACACATATACCCCCCCCCCTCCCCTTATATATGTGGACAATATGGGTGATATTACTACATACGAGTCCTGCATGTGTTTCTTTTTTCAAATGATCCTGCATTTGAGTAACCATTTATTTACCTAAGGCAACAACTATCTCTCAAATGCAGGACTATTTCTCGTATGAGAGTACGTGCCAATTGTGTTCAACGTGATCAGTGTGTCTAATGATATATTTTGGTGGTCAAACCTGTATGGGCATATTTTGTCGCAATAGCCGCGATTTCTGCATCGTCAGTTAAGTAGGACTTTGTCCTAAGCCAGAAGTTGACACAGTATATAAGAAATACAATAAATATAATCCATTTAGCGACGGAATAGATAAAACCGAAAGTTGAGCACATCTTGTTTGTTTTTCTTCAGCGTTACTTTGACACTTGAAACAAAGTCGCGACGACGCTTTGAATAATAATATTAAAGATGCAAGGACATTATTTTCATAAAATTGTAAGTCGCAACGTTTAGCGGAGGTATTGTAATAACTCACGATCTCTGGTTTAGAGGCAATAACTACAGACTATAAGAAAACAACTCATATTTAACTGACAAACGTATAACACATGTTTATCAGCAGGTATCTTAAACAAACTGAGAATTGGAGCGATAAGAAGAGTTTGGTCACAGACAGAATGAATCCGATATTTAAGCAAGGCGTCGCGAAAAAATAAATCTCGGTGTTCAATCTTGAATAATGTGCAATAAAATAGCCAACTGCACGAAGTTTAATCTAGATCCTTCCAGGAATAACCACACAAGAGCATCGACAAAATTTTCTCCCTTTTTAAAAAAAATATTGGCCCGGTGACATTGAGTCAACAACCGTGGAAATTAACTCGTCACAGATATGATTTTTTCTATATAATTATGTGAAGTTTTACAAACAATTAAGCCACTTGAGTCTTGATAAGGATTTGGCTGGAATAGTAACAGTGACATTGACATTTTAACCCCTAAACACATTATTTTGCTTCATTATAAGAATTTCATGTGATCAACATTCATCTAGAAATGAAGCCACTGGGTCAATGACAAGGATTTCCTGAAAACGCCGACCTTCACCTTGACCCATACAAAAGTCGACATCGTCTGTCCGAGATACAATATTCGCTGTAAGTGTGTCATGTTTGATTAAAATCAACCAAGGAGCGAAGCTTCAGATGTGCTGACAAATATCGCGTTTCGTACTTACGATCGCACGTGCGGTAATGTTTCGAGGTGATAATAAGATATAGCTAATGACACTCAGAGTGGCTACAAAAATGAACAATCAAAGTACTGAAAGTACTGAGATGCTAAACGTTTTGAAAAATGTTCACAAATAACCGCTAAGCTATATTACTTTCCCCCATACTCCTACTAAAATAAGAGAACCAGGGGCTATTTTTCTTAATTTTAAGCGATTTTATATCTTCTTTAATTCTTATTTCAAATTTGACGACAATAATGTGAACAAATTAAAATAGGTAAAAAAAAAAAAATAACAAATTACACACAACCATATATTTATCGCCAATAAGCCAAATGATAAATAGCTCTATGATAAAGTTGACTAAATAGAATCTTTGAAATACAATTACTATCCTATCAATATGAGGATTTAGACAAATCGGAAGGACTTTATACCTACTTCTTTATTTTGAATGTATTGCAATGTAATAGTCCTTACTTATTATAATTATATTTGTAGTTGAGGAAAGTAAATAAGGTGTACACAGCATTTCAGATAAATTAAAGTGTAAGTAATTACATTAAATGTATTTACATGCCTATCTTCCTTGAAGTATCATGGTTAGACTTTTCTTCCAGTAATTATGTCTATAAAGACATAGTTCATTGAGATTAAACCAGACTTCCATATATATACAAAATTTACAATATTTTCACTATAGCTACTACTATTTCTGATCTCCAATGGATTAGATAATGTCACCATGACACGCTAAATGAATAAATATGTTATGAAAATATTTCGTTCTAGTTAATTGATAATTATAAACATAAATATTTTTTATACGCGCTTTGTTTGAAGGAATATTTTCATTTCAAGGACTTTTGATACACATTAACAAACCTTGAGAAATCAGCATAAACAGCCTTCATCAAATAAAACTAAAAGACAAAAAATACAAGTTATAACAGAGTCAACATCATGATCAGTACAGTATTAAAAATATATCATTCATAAATCATGAGCACCAAATGTAACTTGCCTACGAAGCGCAAACTTTTTATCTTCAAAAACTTGAAAAAGTGTCATGGCGGTGGGTGTGAAAAACCTGAAAAAGTGTCATATCGGCGGGTGTGCGCGTGGGACGAACAGTCCAATTCGGTGACGTCTAATGGGGTAAAGTGATGTTATATATTAAGACGATCTTACCACATCGACAAGGATTAAAACAAAATTGATGTTCTGTTTGTAAGTTTTGTTTGTTTATAAGTGTTGTTAGTTGATAATTCAAACTAAGCCCCCAGACTTGCTTCTTATCAACTCGCACGTACAGTGTTCTGTACGCCTACGTCATGTCAAGAATTCCGTAAAATATATTGTTAAAAATTTATCAATAATACAACCACACTGTGCTTCTTTTTTGAAATATATAGTAATCGTATTGTTATTAAAAAATAAACTAATTTTGGATGCTTTTAAAATAGCGATTTGAAAGATCGCGGCATTATTTACGTAAAAAAATTGCCGCTAGATGGCTCTAACTCTTTTCGATATTTCAGCCAATGAGAAGGCCAGGATCGGTAAATTTTGTCTGAGTACGTTTAGCCTAATAAGAAACACACCGTAAAAAATCTTCAATGTCCATTTCAACACTTGGGATTTTTGTGTTACTTAAATCAAGTACCTATTTGCTTATGTTTTACGATGTTCTCTTGAACACCCGTCCTCACGTGCATATGCAGCATCGAGGATATACCACGTCGCGCATGCGCAGATTTCTCGCTCCAGGTGAACGATTTTTACTATTGATTACATAGTGGCATTTCAGAAAAAATGTGAAGATATCGTTATGAAGAAAAAAATTCCAAAATATATGCCTCTGATCAGTAAATTTCACATTTCTTCGTTACAAACTAAAAGACATGTGTTCTGTATCCCGCTCTCTCCCATCGCTTCCCATTTTCCCTCCTACTCTTTTTCCTATCTTTTCTTGTCCACTGAAAGGCCGAATGGCCGTACTAGTGGATGTAAGACCAGTTAAATAAATGAAGGCATATGTACAGTTTACGACTGACATTTGTAACCATTGGTATGAATATTTACTGACGGATTCACTTAAATAAATTACTAATGACGAATCATGAAAGCATTACTGAAGAGATGTACAATGTATATACTATGTTGACGTTGATACTTACATGTACAATCATTTCAACGAAAATTGTACGATGCAGCCATGATTATAACAGAGACATTCATTCTTGATTTCGTTTTATCTGGATTCAGAAGGCTTTCATATACTTTCGTGAATTTTAAAGATTAGGGCGGGACAATGGTATATAAAAGAGTTATTTTTTTAGATATTCAGAGAAAAAAAAGGTGTAAGGAAGTGATTATGTGCATGTCACGGCTAATTGCTTTGTTGTCTGTTTGTTTTGTTTGTTTTTCAACTGTTTCTCAATCAATATCTATATTTACATATCTAATTTGTATAATCAGTTCCGAGCCAATAACTATCGGACGAAGTGATCCTTAGGTAATGGCCGTAATGACGTTTATACTGTGAAAGGTTATACAGACCTTCTCATTCGAGATTTATTCCATATCCCACTTAAATGAAAATACAGTCACGTGCACACACATTTGTACGTGTATAAATATGTAGGGAGATACTGAGTAACTCTAGTAGTATCTTCCAAATTGACAAGTGTCACTGATTTACAAATTACAGTCTTCAATATAAGGTGATATTTCAGTTGTGAATAGCTCAAACACTTTTAAAAAATAACCGAAAGTAAACAGAAAGCATTTGTCACAAAAGTTAGCAAGATCAATTTAAAAATTGAGGTTTCTTCCGTAATGTTTTTTTTAAACATTAGTTAGAAACTTTTGGAGAAAAATGGCATATGAACACAGTAACGCGAATTACCTTTAATTGATACAATATTTCAACTCAATATATTCCATAATAAAATCATCGTACAGAATATATCAATTTATATGTTATAATTAGCACGCTTTGAGACAATTATAACAATCAGATATCAAAATAGATACAAAAATCCATTTCCTAGCATTTGAAACATGTAGGAAATGTAGAGGAAAAAAGTTTCAAAACCATTTATTATACGTTTCTGATTTTGCCTGACATGGTTGACTTTCAAGACTTGGTTAAAAGAAGATATCATTATGGTGGCGTGCTAGTAATAATAAAAAAAAGATCACGGGCTTGTTGCTTGAAGATTAAGAACATGTGTTTATGTTACAACAACCAAGCTAATGGATTATAAAAATGAATTGACTTATTGACTGCTATTTATAAATGTAAATCATAAAAAAATCTTAATGAGAAATAAAAGGTACGAGTTCTAGCAGTTCGAGATTTGCTCTGAGACTGTATTTGTATTATATAGAAGCATTGTCACAGTAGAGAAAAATGTCTTTCCAAATATGCCTTGGTTAATCAATGTCATGGTCCTTATTTTCCTTAGTGTACTTAAGGTACTGTAAGATATAGTTAACGGTAGATGTTGAAGATCCCGTCCAATCCGAATCCTTGATCAAGAACTTCAAGTTGTTAATTTTCAAATTTTAATTGCTGCAGTAATATTCAAATTCTAGATCTACACGCAGTTTTATTTTGTTTTAAACCCAATCTAGAGGTGCCTTTATCATACGCTTGTGACCAAATATGACGATTTAACACGTTTTATATTCACGCAGTTGTACGTCTCCTCTAACTAGAATTCACACTCTACAACTGGCAGTTCCTTTACCATGTTATAAACATATTCACGTAATTGTACGTCTCCACTAAGTGGCTTCCTGTATTTGGTTACATTTATAGATGTTTCAAAAATTGCAAATAATCTGTCTTTACGGTGAAATAAACACTTGTGCTACATTCACTGTTGTCACTAGAATGGTTTCAACAAACCCCTAAGAGACCTGCAGCAACCGGCACGTACTACCAATTAAGTATGTAATCATTTTTGTCAGGTGTTCAAATGTTTCAAACAATATCCATAAACACCATCAAGGGTACTGATGGATTTTTTCAAATTTTTATCGTCTTTCTCGTCTTGACAATGAAATTCAGATGAAACGAAGTCGAAATTTGCGTCCTGGAAACATTCCTGACTGCCCGTGCTTTCTACATGCTCACAACGTAAACAG